TCGGCACTAAAACATGAAGATACTGATTCAAAGCGCTTTTAATCGATTTGGGCCAAAGAAATCTCTCATGTTATCTATCTATTTCCATTGCATTCTCCTACTGCATTCGACTGCATAACAGTCATTTCACACCGTTTACTGTTGAATGACAGCTAGTTTTATAACTGAACCATTTTTTTCTGAAGAGCAGTCGACAGCTGGACTACTGCGATTGCAGCTCACTTAGAGCCAATATTAAAATGTTTCGTGATACATGAACTGCAGTAACGTGGCATTTTAGATACTACGATTTTTATGCAGGGCTGGGCACCACCTCAAGAGTGTCGCTAGTTACTTAGGCAACATTTCACGAATGAACGTCTTATAGGCCAACACTTCCCCTCTTCCCACCAGACCTCAACCTCTGTGACTTTTGTCTGTGAGGTTATCTCAAAAGCACTGTTTATGGTGATAATCTAAACAATTTTGGCAGAAATGAAAAATGTGATACACTGATAACATTCCTCCTGATATGCTATGTGTAACGTGTATACGAGCCAGTTTCCCTTAAAAAGTCCTCCACGAAGGCATCCCTCCCTTAAGGCAGATAGCCCTCGAGTGCTTTGCCGTAATCTAATAAACCAAACCAAAACCAAACCTGATATGCTAAGAGCTGCTGTTGAGAATGCAGCAACATGATTTAACTTGCTTTCGGAAAATGCTGGACGCTACATTGAACATGCTTTGTAACACGTTTCGGAAAATATTAAACGCATTTTAAACAGATGTTTTCGTGTCTTATTTCATTTAACAATATTTTATACAGCGCCATTTTCCCCCTGGTGGTAAGTTTTTGAACTCTTTTTTTTTTTTTTTTTTTTTTTTTTTTTTTTTTTTTTTTTTTTTTCCCCGCGGAAAATAAATTCCCATAACCTCCTTTACATGATTCCCAAGTTTGATAACATTTGGTCCGGTAGTTTTCCTTTTATGACCATTTCAAATTGAAACTTTAATTATAACCACCATGTGAATTAAACTTTAAAAGTTTGACAGTTTGGTTCAAGTCTCAGCTTTAAAAATATATGTATAAATATAATCTTTTATATTAATCCTCTTAGAAAGAATGTTTTAAGAAGCTAATTTTTCTCTCGCGTTATAGACTGTATAAAAAAAACATGATCTTTAGTATGATTTAGATTGTTTCAGCCGATATAAGAATCGGATCACTCTGTGGTACAGAATAAACCCTGCTGGACTGCTTTATTTCTTTGTCATTTAGCAAAAATCTTTTCATTAAAATATTTATCCTTTGGACTTCGCTTTAAACTTTATTTATAGCTAAAATGACTAGAAAATGAAAAGCTGTCTTTAGCTGAAACGCAATTCATATAATTGATATTTTAAAAAATTGACAAGAATGCAAAATGTATGGAAATCTAGCAGTCGAAAAATCTTAATTTTCTTGTGTGAGCACTGAAAATAACTGTAGAAGGAAAGAAGAAAATTAGGGAGAAAAGTAAGCAAAAATGTGCAGGGAAATTTGGCTGTCAGACATACCAAGATGTTCAAAACGTTGGACGCTTTCGAATATACTTTCAGGATACTTCAAAGAATTTAGGTGTTCAAAGAGAAAACACTTGGACGTGTACACCAGCAAATACCATCAATTGAGCTTGTGTTAACAGAAAAGACAAAAACGATATCATTGCAGATTAAAGTGAAGAGCGACTGGTTTTAGACTATATGGTTGTGTAAATTACGTTATAGAACATCATATCGTATCATAAATGGTGAATCCCATGATTTTCTCAGTCGAATTATTTGAAGATTCAGGAGTTTATCCAGTGATGTAAGTGGATGTCACCTAAAGATGTTTTTTTCCCTTCCTGATGAAACAGCGGCCGAGCGGTAAAGTCGCTGAACTCTGGTAGTTCGGTCCGAGGTTCGAATCCCGCAAACGGGCTGGCTGCATCGGCGTTTTCGTGGTTTTCCCCATGTGTAACGTGTATGCGAGCCAGTTTCCCTTAGAAAGTCCTCCAGGAAGGCATCCCTCCCCTTAGGCAGATAGCCGTAGTGTGCTTTGTCATAATAAAATAAACCAAAACCTTTTGATGAAACCAGTCTTCCTTTCATCTCATACCTTCAAAATGTTTAGCCTCTAAAGACTGATAAAGGCTCTGACGAAATACTTCGTGAAGAACTTTCTAAGGGAAACCAGCTGTCATACGCGATACACATGAGAAAATCCACGAAAACGCCCATGCAACCAGCCCGTTTACCGGGGTTCGAACCCCGGAGTGAACTACCAGTGTTCAGCAACTTTACCGCTCGGCCGTTTGTGGGCCCCTTTATGAAATGGAAGGCGATAACTTTATTTAAAATGATTGTCAGAAATACCAAAATGTTTCGAAAAGTTGGATACTTTTCAATATACTTTTAGAATGCTTGAAGAAAAAGAGAAGAAAAATAAATTTTTTCGTAAAATTTAGTATTCGTATTTTTTTTAATTTAAAACTTTTCAATCTTATGATATTTGATTCTTGCGATTTCAAAAATAAAATATTTAACTAAAATATGAATAACATTTTAAGAAACCAAATGTAGGATAAAATTGTGTAAGGCAATGGGCACAATGATAAAACTGTTTAAAGCAGTGTATGCAGGTCATCCTAAGTTAAAATATCAGTTATACATCTCTCTTATTTATATATATTTTTTCTGAACGGAACATTGAAAGGCGTGTAAAACTGCACTTTACTGTATTTTCTCTTTTAATATAGTACGCAGTTTTCAAACGCATCGTAGTCTGGGTTACAAAGTATTCTTCCGAAAGAAACGCAGTTCAAATAAATAAAATCAAATTCAGGAAAATTGATATTAATAAATATATTTAAAATGCTCAGTTCGAAGGAATAAATAGAAAATTTTAAAACAATTATCTGAAGAAACAATGCAACACAAACAATTAAAATAAAAGTATAAAATTTAAAAATGACCTAAGATAATAACTATGACGAAAAATATATATAAAGAAAACTATTATTTGAAAAAAAAAAAAAATAAACGCTGCACCTTTATTTACGCAGTTCGAATAGGTAAATAGAAATTTTTTAAAACAGTTATTCGAAAAAAAAAAAAAAAAAAAAAAAAGTGCAACTTAAACAATTAAAATGAAATTCGAAAAAGAAAAAATTACTTTAAAATAATAAGTTATAATTAAAAATATAATATAAAGAATATTATGTGGAAAAAAGGAACGATGGTGACTTTTTTTCCCCTCACGGGAAAGGAAACTAGGTTGCCATATATTAAGAAGTTCGCCAAGTAAAGTATTCTTGGCGCAAACTGACAAAAAAGTGCCAACATAAATTTGTGAATTTCTCCGTAAATTTCGCTCGAAATTTTACAAAATTTCATATTTAGGCGTAATTTGAGTCGTAGAATCGAAATATGTAAAAAAATTGGTATGTTATTTCAGAAAAAGTCCGATTTTGTGTCAAAATACCTATGTTAGAATAGTGCTATATATAAATCTAATATATATCCTAAGTCGCGCTTTCGAGACATGAAGAACGCAATTTGAATTTTGTCAATCGGTCCAGTAGATCGGGAGATATAGGACTGTCCCATTTTTTTTTTTTTTTTTTTTTTTTTGAGCAGTGTACATCTGCTTCTTAAAACATTAATATACTTTAGGAATTTGATTATGAAATTTTAAATTCGACAACTATTTTTTAATAACATCCGCATTTCAAGTACCGTCAAGTTTGATTTGGAAATAATTCGAGATATGATCGGGGTGAGTGAGCACGAGCAAAACGGCAGAAAAGGTTAAAAAATCATTCGAAAACTGAGAAAGGTTATCGTCTAAAAATTCACGAATTCTTAGACAGCGTTGGTCTTAGTTATAGAGTTTGCTACAAAATTTTAGCTGAAAATTTGAACATGAGCTACACTGTGTATATATTTTCCCATGATCCCACCCACAACTCTGAATACAGGACGTAACTAATAATCCCATGGTTATCATTCTCCTTCCTACCTACTGACTGGATCTAGTTTCCTGTGATTTTGTTTCATTCTTCAGATTGAAAATGTAATTAATAAGACAAACTCTTGGAAATGTGCCCAAATTCAAGGAGAATCGTGCTTTTTTGTTTTTTGCGTATTTTTTTCTTCTACCAGGGCTGGTACAGTCTTTTCACCGCCCGGCGCATACTCTATAACTTCGAAATTCTATTGCCTGGTTTCTTCCCAAATTTTAAACGTTTTGCCGCCTTTAAATTCTTCCGTTTGGTACTACTTATCATCCATATCCTGAACACCACAAGCTTTTGGAAAATAACCACATGGCAGGGCCGTTCATAGCCGGGGTGCAGCGCGTAAAAGTACGCGAACGGCCAAAATCAGGGACGGCCAGACTCTCGCGATACCAAGCCTAAATATTTTAAATTAATTAAATTCATTGTAAGTACTTGTCATATGTAAGTACTTTTATACAATTTTTCATATGTAAGTACTTAGTGAGTAGGAATTTTGGGGCGGCAATCTTAGGAAAGTACGCGGGCAGCCAATGGCTCAAGAACGGCCCTGCCACGTGGTTGTCATTCCCTACCCCTCCCTACTCGCTTGATTTAATTTCCATATTCATGTCTGTGCCCCATATTCAAGGAGAATCGTCAACGCTGAAGAATGGGAACTTCAAAGAAAAAGGATTTCGATGCATGAAAAAACTGATAGAGCAACTATTTACATTCCAAAGGAAACTATTTTTAAGGAAATGGCAACCCAAACAGAATTTTAAAATGTACAAAATTAATTTTTTTATGAAGTTTGGAAAACCTTGATATGTTTAACCCTAGTTTCTATGATCACTGCATTACTAAACTCTATCCTCAGGCAATGCTTTTTTGCTGATGTTAATATCACTGTAAGAAACTAGCTCTTACATTTTACTGGGAAACACCTATATTTGAAAGGAAATAGTTTACTGAAAAATGTTAGAGGAAAAATTTCTTTACCATAAAAGGTATGTATCCATTCTCTCGATCCTCTCGTATGGCTTTGGAGAGCGTGTCGCCTCGCAATGAAAGTTGAGAGTCGGTAGGCAGAAGCCGCATTCGAACGGCACCCAGCAAAGCTGCTCTTTCCACGGAAGAATGCGACTGAAATAACAAAATAACTGAAGAAAACATTCGGTGACATTATCAGTTTTTATTTTGCAACGTACTTTTACCTATAGACCGTAAAAATTAGTATTTTATTATTTAATAACCATTTTAAACATTTACGTCATTGTAAAAATGATTCAAATTCGCTGTATCTGTAACTTACAGAAATTGTTTAAAATCGTCCCATTCTGATTTCATGTTTCACTAAAATGCAAAAAAATACCTGAAATGTGAAAGCTGAACTATTAATTGTCGGAAAAATATTTAAAATCATAATTTTCTTTTTGTATGCGTTAGTATGCGTTAGTAGCACGTAAAATATTCCTGCAGTCTGAAAGTACATTGTTAATTGCAAGAAAAAGTTTTAGAACTATAACATAATTATTTTTATGTTTCAGTAAAATGTCAAAAATTCTTAAAATGTGTAAGTAGGATTGTTAATTATAAGAGAAAGATAAATTTTCTTACATTTAATCAAAATTTTGTTTCTGGGTTTTTTTGAGCCTAATTCTGAAGTTAAATTTTGACTTTTGAAATCTATTTGCTTGGAAATTTTCGCACATACGTATTAGTGATGACAATACAATATTCCACACATATATACATTCAAAATCCCATATATATGTGTGTGTGTACTTTTATTAAAAGCTGAATTTTTATCACATATCCTTGTTTAACTATCAAACTAAACATCTCAAAATTTTGATACTTGCACTGTCAGATAGAATGGAAAATAATCGTCCAGATGAAGGTCTTTCAAAATTTCTGAATTAATTTGAGGAATGTTTTGCGATTATTCAAAAGTCATTCGAATTTTGTTTAGTTATCGTAAGGATCACGTGTTTTTTAAATTAAAAGATTTATACCTTAATATAACAACTGCTAAAACTCAAGAAAACTGCTTTTCCATCCAAGAATTACTTAACCAACGTACTGAAGTTTTCCGGAAAATTTAGCTTCCGGAGTATTGTACGAACAAATAGATGGCTCTAGAGGATAGGAGATTTGTGGAAGTAAAGGCCGTAAGGTCGAAAACCTCTTACAGATGTATATAGATAGATATTGCTCTTGAACTGAATTGTATGGTTTAAGTGCGAAGAACGTGATATTTAATAAATAAAGGTAACAGACAAAATGTTAAAAAAACGGCCCTTTGGACGTAATTTAAAATCTGAAACCTTTCAGATTCTTTTTATTATTTATTTTAAAATTTACTTCTTTATATTTGCATAATAATTACGTGTTGACAATGCAATAAGATTAAAGAGTACTAAAAACTATTGGTGTTTAATTTAACTAACTGACCATGATGTTTATGAAAGGAAAAATTTTAAATTTGTAATTACCTGATCTGAGGCATATGCGACAAGCTTCTCTAGTTTGGCATCCTTCGATAAATTTAAGACCCTGCTTCTTGCACCTAACAGCGCTACTAAGGTAGCCTCACTTGCTGTTCCCTATAGAAAATAAATTTCAAAACTAACATAAATGGGTATTTTCTTTTACATAATTCACAGTTACAGTTATACAGGCACTAGCGCGAAGAACTCCAGCTCTATACGGCAGTTCATCAGGTACAACCCTCAAATGCTATAATTTATTCTACTATCTCCCGAATGGAACCTTTCTTGTTGAGTATTTTTTATGTACTGTGACTTATGCTAAGTGTAGCCTGCAGTACAGATCTTGGTGGAATGAAAGTGTGAATATACAGTCAAATATCAAATACCCTCCTTCACCTCAGACACAACTATCGTTGCCTGTAATGTTTCTTCTTGAGCACAGATATAGTAAAAGAGTTCATAACCTGTCATTTTCCGGTTGATAATAATCTGGAATCACCAACCAAAAAAATAAGTTCATACACTTGTTTCTTTTCATCTGTCTTATCCCACTCATTTGCCAGGAATCCAGGAAAGAATTACATTTTTTTTCCATCAGACTTTGCATGCCATTAGATGTTAAGCTTAACTTTTACATGTTTAACCTTTTTCATTCTTCGCAGATTCTTTGGTGACGAAGTCTGCTTCTTTATTATTCTTACCTCGTATGGCTTCGAATTCATTTGAAATATATTTTCAGTTCATTATTATTTTCCAGTAAGTTGTACATTTATTTTACTTGCTTGGGGTCCTCTATAGCTTAGATTGCCAAAAACGCTATCTGAATCAATATTAAGAAGAGAGATATTGTTGGTAAAATCACTAACAGCCGCCTTGATAGTTATCAACTCTGCTTGAAAGACATAATTTTGAGGACCTAGATGGCCTTTCCATTTGAGCAACCACTGAGGCCACCCGGTACAATTTCTGCGTATCATAAATTCTTTGTTCGGTATCTCCATAAATTCTAAAAATGTTGCCTGCCGGTCCAAATTTGTTGAACTGCTGTATTATTGCAGTACAGTAAAAGGTGCTACCTACTTCATTGTAGACCTTCGCTCTATCTGTTTAAGCGAACATACAGATAGAGTTTCCTCTGTCTATATATGCCTATATTCACAACGAACATTCTCAGTGTTACAAAGAGCTAATAAACTAGTATCTCAATGTAGTTACAAAGAGATAATAAACATACGTTTTTTCACTTAAGAAAGAAAGGTGCGTTTCAGAATCCAGATTAATTTAACACTAATAGCACTGTCTTTTATACTATACAGTTTAACATTCTGACTTGAAGAAAAATGGCCAACAGTCCTTTTACGTATACTAAAATTTGATTTATAATTCTGTTTAGAATACAGCAACTTGAATTTGAAATCTTTTCAACAGCATCTTTGAATCTACATTAAAAAGTATATCTTAAAGAATTATGTTTCCTAAAGCTTATATTTAGTATTATGTTTTACAAGCAATACTTTAATTCAATAAATCTTTTAAGTCGTATTTTTTAGGATTTACTATACAAATAAGATTTTTAACAAATCATAATAATTAAAAATGCATCACCTGTATGACACCACCTCCAGGTCCCATAGATTCGAACAGGAAATGAGCAGGCAGTTTTAGTGCTTTTCCCAACCAATCCAACATTACCATTTCCATTTCCGTACACGCAGGGCTTGATATCTATGGAGAAGAATTAAATTCTCAGTAACTACATACGATAAGATAGCGCCAAACTAACTAATAACATACTCTATATTATTAGCTTAATTTCATATCATAACATTCAAATAAAAAATTGTCCCGAAAATGCGCTATCACAGTTTCATTAGTTATTGGCTTCCTTTTAAATTTCGAATTCGATTAGCTCATTACTAAACTAACAGAGATTTTAAGTATCCGTAAGATCTCTGTAAAACATTAATGCGCAATAATTCAGAGATTTGGATTTAAGGAAATGTCCTTTTGACAGACAAAGAAGTCTACAAATCCTACAGTTTTCTTCGAAGTTTTTCCAGCATAAAGAGTTACATTTGTTGCTTCATTTCATTCAAGATTTACAACATTTTAATTCCGGTTCAGTCCCGCTGTTCTTTGTTGCAAAAATGTTCATCAAACAAACAAACATGTTTTCAGATCATGCATACTTCCTTCAAAGAATACAGTTCCTCAGCATAGCTGCAGCATGTTATTCTCTTCTAATAACAGAAGGATACAAATTTCTCAACATAGGAACAAAATTTGCTGTAGAATTTTATTTACAATTTTGTGGTTGACTTCTCTGGTTTTGAGATGCCTGACCGCCCTTAATTAGACCACTGGTTTTAACAGCAAAACTTGAAACACAACATCTATCGATGCAAATATATTTTTGAGGCCAACAGCAGAGATAAAGTGGATTGCTTAGTCATAGCAAAACACACCAGCATTGCATCAAAAAGGGCTTTCTAAGAGAAACTGGCACACATATTAAGTATCAGAAGTGCGACAGCATAATACGACTAGACAGAGAGAGAGAGAGAGAGAGAACGAGGCAAGAGGAAGATGGGATAGAAGGTGAGTGTGAGCCTCTGCTAAAAAGAAGGATACTATTAAAGAATGACGACAACGCAAACATCTACTACCTCCATTGTCACTTTTCATCTGTTAATACTTCACTTGCTAATACTTAATCTGTAAATAATCATAGCCATTATTTATTCACGGATTTAATATAAAATACTTAAATAACTTTGGTTTGTCTGTTTCCGAATCCTCTAGAAGCCAAGCCTCATATGTGGGCCCTTCGGTCGGTTCTCAGTAAATTTTTCAGCCTCTTCTTGTGCAAGTACACTATTTCACCTTGATTATTGATAGGGAATTAATTAATTAATGTTTTGTAGAGAATTTCAATAAAATCAAAATAATTTTCAAAAGCAGAACTCATAACTTTGTGTTTGGTTAGGAAGATGACCGCACAAATTAGAAACGACTTCATGAATTGCGTGGACTTGATTCATTTCGAATTACGGACATTTAGGAACGTATTGAATATTTTCACTATTGAAGATCTAATTTCAATTCTTAATTTTTTAGATTTAGAATGCTCCACTTCCGCTGATGACTGTTGATATATGATAGTGAGTGTTTAACTTATCGATCTGTTATTAGAAACTACAGTTTTTGTATCTGATTCCGATAGTGTATTAGAAAACACAGAACAACAAATTCTCTAAAACAAAATGGAGCTTAAACAGCTGCAGTTATCTGTGCGCAGTTAACAAATTTTTCGAATACGACAGTTAATCAAAACTCACACGCCTACATTTGTTGATTATTCATATAAATATTACAGTTGCTTATTTATATAAACATTAAATAAATAATACGAAGAGTGTCAGCGGTGGTAAATGAACATAGTGGATTTAATATTTCAATTCGCAGTATATTTGAATGTATAAAATCCTCCTAACGGTTCTTCTGATAATTTAATAGAACCTTTCTCCGAGGATTACGGACTCCGTGCAGTAGGATGGTTACGTTACACAGGGAAATTTCTGCCAGCACCCTGAGTGATCTTGCCATTAAAATTAACCGTTTGTGCCTGTACAAGCGGTTAATTTAAATGATCCTCTTGGTAATTTGAATGACCCGTACATCTGATTTCTGAAGCACAGTTTAAAAATACGCTTTCTTTTAGAATAATAATGAAAGCCTCTAAACCAGAGAAAGTAGTGTATGCCTGCAAGCAAAAGACCGGTAGTTGATGGAAAGTGATTGAAGAATTCTAAAAAATTGATTACAGAACTTTTGAGGTAGGAAATGCAGAATTATGGTAGAAGACACGTAACGGTTAACCAAAATTAAATGTTAAGTTTTTACCCTTTATCACGTATCATTTATTTATCAACAAAATAGTAGAGGTTCTCCAGCGGTCGAGTGGATAATCCTGCATTGGAGCTTTCGTGGCTTTTCTCACGTATAATATTGTGGTGTTCCAACCTTTTATTTAACAACTAAATGTGGAGGAACCTAGTGAATAGCTAAGCGATTAATCGCTTAAGTTCAGGAACAAAGACGTAAACTCGAGAAGGGTTAATTATCCTTTACTGCTCAAAATAAGAGTTAACAGATGGCCCTTTTCTCAGGGCGTACAGCAAGAGAAGCTATCAAAACTCTAAATAGTTAGCGCCTAAATATCGCATAAGCTAGCGAAGCTATCAAGGCCCTGCAATATGGCCGAGCGTAGTAATAGTTTAGATGTCGCCAAAAGGCAAACGCGCGCTAGTCAGAAACTCTGAAGTTCTCTTTCGAAGTCAGTGGAACTTCGACTTAAATACTACTCTTACTCATTTGCATTAAACGCGATTCTAAGAACACATTCTGTTAGGAAATTGTAAACTGAAATTAGGATGGACAGGAAAGTAGCTTTAACTGAGAATAACTGTTGAAAACCTTACAATGCAATATGAATGAGAGCTCGTTTTTGTTAGAAAGTCTTCCTGAAGGTATCTCATTTTTAAGGCAGATAGTCGTAGTGTACTTTGCGCAATCAAATAATCCAATCCAATTTTAAAATTACTACAGAAGAGTAAAACTACACTACCTCAATATATACTTGTATAACTATATCCATAAAGGATAATAAATTTTGCGTAAATAAATTAATTTAATGTTTAATAATGATTAATATCTGAATAAGATTAATTTCTTAAGGAATTTTTAAAGAGTATATTATTTTTTTTCCGAATCAAACAGACGAAGATGATTTCGATCTTCGTTTAGCTGCATCAACTTACTGCATAATATTTCCATTTCCGTTATAAGAAGTTAACGTACTGGCAATCAAATTTTTATTTAATTCTTTACGGTATTTGCCATAAAATTATTGTCTCTGGGAAGATCTGCTTTTTTAAAAAAATACTGATAAGTTTATGATTAGTAGGCATTACCGATTAGTTACTCTATAAATAACCAGATTAACGTTAACGTATACGGTTATTTCCCTCCCCGTCAAACACGTAAAACATTACAGAAAATTTTTGACTGTTTTCGAAGTCCTAATTTCCTATAAAGTCTGAGACATAGGTCAGCTTAAGTACTCTGTTCAAGCGAGTCAGTCTTTATTCAAGCGAGTCAGTCAGTTCAAGCGAGTCAGTCAGTTATTGCCGCTTAATTCATCATGCGTACGAAAGATGAGAAAGTTCTCCCAGTTGCATATTCGCAAAGTGAAATTATTCTTCTCTATTTAAGAACAAAAATTTGATCTTGTCACAGTTTCCAGCAATTCGCTTCGAGTTTGTCAGCTTTGAATTTTTAATCTGTGTTAAACAAAAATTGACTCAAATTTTATCAATGGTGCTTCACAAAGTCAAAATTTATGCTAATTTGATTATAAAGAAATATTTAAATAAGAACTCCGGCAATTAAGAAATAGAAAAAAGCATATATAAAGAGGATATAAACAGATAATAGCAATTAAATCCATATAATTCGAGAAACAGTTAGTAAAGAAGTTAGTACTTCTTTACAGTTAGTAAAGAAATTAGTACTTCTTTACAGTTAGTAAAGAAATTAGTACTTCTTTACAGTTAGTAAAGAAGGCTGATTGATATACACTGCTCTCCAAAAGATAAAGAACAACATGTTTTTCAAAGCTCACCATTACAAAAATGTCAGGAACGTTTAAATTCACAATTTATATGCATGATAGTAACGAAGTTTAAGAAAATATGTACAAAAACAATAGCTACTACCTTTATTTTATAGAAATGAATACTTATATAGGAATTGGGGAAAAAATGCAAGAATTGTAAGTTTTGTTCACGAGTGCTGATCTCCACTTGTTATTAACAATTTCGTTGACAATATCCAGTAGAGCAGCGGTCGAGGAACCGGAGTAAATTACCCCAAATGGGGTAAAAATGAAATTTTTGGGGGTAAAATTGAAACTTTTGTGAGTAAAAAGTATATATTTTTAATTTTCTATTTTATAAACCTGTTAGTATTTTTTTCAATTTAAACAATTTGAAAATTTAATTCAAGTATATTACAACTATTATTTTCTGTCTCCCTTCAGATGGCAGCAAATAGAAAAAGAACATACCAAGACGAATTCCTTAATTACGGTTTTACACAAATAGAAGACAATGGTACAATGAAACCACAATGTGTTGTATGTATGAAGGTACTGACTTCAGAATCGTTCAAAAAAAGTCAATTGAAGAAACATTTAGATAATTTGCATTCACACCTGTCTTCCAAACCGCGAGAATACGTTGCAAATTTAGAAATATCTGTTAAAAGACAAAGATTGAATAGCAACTTGTTTGGTACATTTGATCAGAGTTCAGGATCAAGGGCTAGCTTTGAAATAGCCTGGTTGATTGCTCGAAATAAGAAACCATACACTATTGGTGAAGATTTGGTTAAACCAGCTGCTGTAAAAATGGCAGAGATTATGTGCGGTCAAAAAGAAGCGAAGAAACTGAATTCAGTGCCCTTGTCTGCGAGAATTGTGAAAGAACGAATTTCTATATTAGCAGAAAATGTGAAGGAACAGGTTATTTTCGCATTAAAACAGGCTAAATATTTTGCTATTCAGCTTGATGAGACAACTGATTTTAGTAGCAATTCACAGATAATGGTATAATGTTCGCTACAAAGGTGCAGATAATTTTGAAGAGGAATTGCTGTTTTGTCCTCCTCTCGAGTTGAGATCTTGTGGAATTGATGTCTACAATAAAGTAAATGAATACTTCAATGCGCAAAGTTTAAAATGGGAAACTGTATTTCTGTATCTTTGGATGGAGCTCCAGCTATGCTGGGTCATATTAATGGTTTTTCGGTTTTCGTAAAAATAAATAACCCAAATATTGAAGTTACTCACTGTATTATCCATCGCCAGGCCCTTATGGTCAAATATTTAGAACCTACACTGGAAGCCGTCATGCATGATGTCATCAAGATTGTAAATTTTACCAAGGGACACGCACTAAACACGCGGCTATTTCGTGAATTATGTCAGAACGGTGAAGCTGAATATACGGACCTACTTTATTATACAGAAGTAAGGTGGCTCTCTCGCGGAAATGTACTAAATCGAGTGTAGACTCTCAAAACTGAAGTCGAAATTTTTATGGTTGATCAAAAAATATTCTCGCAGATAAGTTTAAAAACTCTTCCTGGGTTGCATATCTCGCATATTTAGCGGACATTTTTGAGAGTATAAATATATTAAACAAAGAATTGTAAGGAAAGAATATTAATATCATTTCAGCGAGAGAAATAGTGTCAGCGTTTGGATTAAAGCTACAGTACTGGAGACAGAAAGTAGAACAGAACAAGATAGCTTCTTTTTCAAGGTTAGCTTTGTTTTTGGAAGATTGCGAAAATATTACTTTTGCTGACATCAAGTATACAATTGTAAGACATCTTATCAAACTCAGAAAGCGGTTTTCAGATTACTTTCCAGATCTTGATACACGTACTGTCAGTTGGATTGTAGATCCTTTTAAATGTGAAATTGCTATGATACCAGAAGAACCTTCAGGTTTGGCAGAAGCAATTCTTGAACTTCGATCTAATATTGAAGCACGTATTCAGTTTGAGAGTAAACCAAATCTGTCGTCTTTTTGGATGTCAAAAGCTGCAAAGGCTTTCAAAATTGCACATGAAGAGGCGATTAAAAAATTGCTGCCATTTGGAACAACATATTTGTGCGAACAAGGCTTTTCCACTCTAATGAACATAAAAACGAAGACCAGAAATCGATTAAACGCCGAAGACTGTATTCAAATCGCTCTTACATCAAGAAGTCCCAATTTTGAAGCAATTGTATCGAACATTAAACAACATCATTTCTCCAAAACGTGAAGGAAGAATGTTTTCAATTATTCTTTTTTTTTTTTTCAATTTTTTCAATTCTAATTTTGTTTGTACCACCATTATTATTATTATTATTATTATTTGTTACAGTACCCCAATGGGTTTCAATTTGTTATATATATTACTTATATTACTATTATTACCCTTATGTATTACTAGGTATTACATTGATAAATTGAATAAATGATGTTTAAATGAAATTTTTAGTTATTGTTTTCTTTTCAAAATTATCATGGGGGGGCTATAATATGAAAGATGCTAAAAAGAGGCGTTTTTTTTTTTCCCCTCTTCGCCATGGGGTAATATCAACTTACACAAAAATATTTTTGGGTAATGATTAAAAAAGCTCCCCGACCGCTGCAGTAGAGTCTATCAGTGTCCAGGAGAAGTCGTTTGCCCGAGTCGTTGAGGTGGAGGCGATCGGATGGATGGAAATGGATTGCAAGCCGATGCTGCTAGACGCCTCAATGTCTCTCGTAGTGTGGTTCACCAACTATAAAATCAGTTTGAATCCGAGGATTCTGTGTCTAAAAGGCATGTTTCAGGCAGACCTAGGCTTGCAACACCTGCGGGAGACCGTTATTTAGCTCTTTCGGCCCGAAGGAGGAGTAACATTACTGTGTCTCAGCTCATGGCAGATCATTTAGTGGCAACGAGTACAAGAATCTCAGCTACTACAGTACGCAGACGCCTGCGCAATAAAGGTCTGTATGCAAGACGACCAATTGTTTGTGTCCCCTTGACCCGAGGACACACAGGTTACCGTTTATGTTGGGCAAGGTAACGCGTCCCCTGGACCAGTCAACAATGAGCGTCTATTCTCTTCACAGATGAGTCCAGGTTCACATTGGAGAGTTATTCAGATCTTCAACTGATTTTTAGGGAACAACGCGCCAGATACAACTAATCTCACATTGTGGAAAGATACAGTTACAGAGGTGGTGGAATAATGGTTTGCGCTGGGATCTCTTTCGGTGGACATACTGACCTGCATGTGTTCCATGGAGGAACTTTGACTGGTATGAGATGTCGAGACGAGATCTTTGATCACTATGTCTGCCTGTATGCCGTTGCTGCTTTAAGTCTTCCTCCAATGTCGTTAGATGAGCTTGAACAAGGATTACTCTGTGTCTGGTCGTTGCTTCCTATTAACTTCCGTCATTAAATTATTATTCCGTCAACTTAATTGATAACATGGAACGTCGCTGTCTCCAACGTATTGCAGATAGGGGTGGATACAATCCTTATTAGAATTCACTTTTGTAATGTTACTACCACATTTTTCCTCAAAAAACTGTGATATAGTGTTTCTTTAAGACAATTTCTCTGCCAAGTGTGCAATTTTTTGTTATAATTCATCTTTGTGTTAAACTTCAGAAACATTCTATGTCGCATTCATTAAATAACAGTTTACATGTCCTCTAGATTTCTGGTTTCTATGTTGCTTCATTCTCAAATTACACACCCAAAATATGCTGTTGCTTAACTTTTCGATGGCAGTGTAGATTAATATTATTAATATAGAAAAACGTAAGTGGAAGATGTGAGAAGCTGATGCTTGCTGAAGATTACTTTAGAAGGCATAAATGAATCACTGCAACACTTGCCAATGAAAAGTCAATTACGAAGCCTCTTCTTTTATATGCTTTTATTCCACCAAGTTTCTCTATTTGTTTGGGTCAAAATTTGATATTAATTTTTGACAACCATCTACTAACCACACTTTTGTAAAGTTTTTCACAAATACATATTTACGAAAAGCAATATAATATTTAGCAATATATTTTCCTTGCTTAACGGCTAAACTTATCACAACAGAATTTTGATCTTAGCGATATCGAGTAAACTAAAAAGAAATCTTTCAAATGAAATTTTTTTGTGACTACTGTTAATATTTGCAGAATTCTGGCGATGTTTCAAAATCATCTGATAATTTCAAAATTTACTAATAATTGATAACCGAACACGCTTTTCTAACACTGTCCTGTTATAAAAGTGTTAGCATTTCTGTGAACATCAGTTTTAACTGGAAAAATGCAAAATGATAAAATTTGTTGCCCTTTATGTTGGGATATTGCTATGCAAGTATGGTCTAAGCTCGTTACTTTGATTACTAAAGCAAACGAGGATCCCACTTGCTTAATAGTGTCGCGGCATAAGATGCCGGCATCTTTATGAAGGTTGTTCAAGTTTAAAACGATCTAAAAAAAAAAAGGCTCTTGCTGGATCTTCTTTATAAAGGTTTCTATCTTCGATAGCAATATACATAAAGCTGCTTTGAGGTAGGGCATCATTAATTATTGCTTACCAGTAATCGGAATTTCAGTGTAGCTCAAATGGTGTAACACAGAAGAGAATAATTTTTCTTACCCATGTGAATCCAATGCAAGTAAGGGCACCTGCCAAGATGTCGGCTATCATCGCAGGATAAGAATTTCCTGTCGGGAAATAAGCATGGAAATGGGGTGAATTCCAGTGAGTCATCTGAAAGATAATCAGTTAGCATTTGATTCAATTAACATCTATCACCAAATGACGCTTTCAGAAAGCAACATACGCGTATCAAACAATAGCATATGCATAACTTTAATATCTTTAGACCAAATTTGTTCACATCAGATTTTATATTATAAAAAAGTTATTTATTCTTCTTATTGTTTTATAACAATATTGATGTAGGTAATTAAGACCCAATAACAAGCCGAACAAATACTAATTAAGAAGTCAAACAACAAAAATCAGCGTTATATTTTCAAAATTTTCACAGGACTAGTTTCGATGGTTTTACCGAACCACCATCCTCAGCTGCAAAACCGCAAATGAACAAGATAGGAAATAATGATTAGATAAGATAAGAAAGGCCTGGACAAGCAAGTGGCGCCATCTGTTGGTGAAACCAGAACTAAAACATAATTTCTTTAAAGGCCGAAGGCAAAGATGGATTGGAATTAGGATCGTTAACTAGAACAGAAAGATTTTTTTTGAATGTGAAATGCCTCTAGAATATCCAGTTCTCCAATGGAAGATGTTTTTTGAATAATTTTGGCAGCAGAAAAATTGAAAGTTTCGGACCAACAATGTTGAGCAACAGAAGACTTCTTTGTTTCCTTTTTTCTAACATATGCCTCATGCTGCAAAAATATGTGCAACTTTATAGCTAACTGATGGAAAGAAGGGAAAGACAACAGAATTTTTATAATCTCCTAAAACAAGAGTTATGCTTGAGGACTTGCTTACTCTTGTCCAGGCTTTCTTATCTTATCTAATCATTATTTCCTGTCTTGTTCATTTGCGGTTTCAGCTGAAGATGGTGGTTCGGTAAAACCATCGAAACTAGTCCTGTGAAAATTTTGAAAATATAACGCTGATTTTTGTTGTTTGACTTCTGAATTAGTATTGATATAGGTAGTTTATGGTAAATGCAAAATGCTTAATAAGTGCAAGTGACATGCCAACTAAGCTACAAAAGAACATAATAAGCTTAACAAGAATGACAGATACATCCGATGAGCTCGCATTATGCTAATACCTGAAGCAAGAACAAAGAAATACGTTTTAAATGCATGTTTTGAGGCACATATTACAAGGTAACTTAAAATGGCATACCTGGAAATAGAACTGCAATACCGAAACGATATGCTAAATTTTTTGCCACATTGTTCATGTCCATAACAGTTTGCAAGTATAACTGAACATATGGGTTGAAATAATAAATCAGAAAGATTAATTTACCTTACTGACAACTATCTTAGTAGATGTAGAGCTACAATGAAATTTTCGGGTTTTTATTCATTTTGTGAAAATTATCAATAAAAAGTTGTGGAGATTCATTAATTTTGACTAACAGTTAAGTTTTAGTTAAAGAGACATTTCTTTCATTCTCATTCCCCTCCCCCCCACGCTTTCCTGCCAGGATCTAATCACTTAGCGAGCGTGTATTCAAATTAAGAATAATAATAAATAAAGGGACAAAGAAGTACTATTTAAGCGAAGGTGTAGATTTTTCTGAATTTCCCGCAAGTTGCGTGAAATGTATTCTGTTATATTTTTAAGTTTTGTGTAACCTTTGGGCTGACTTGTTAATAAATAGGTTCATTTTAAACCTTCATCTGAAACCTTTAAGCCAATCTTCTCTACGAAAGATCAAAATGATCTGCAACCAAGAATGGTCGCCTTAGAGAGGATCAAAATAATTAAACAGTTACAGTCACAGTAATTAAAGAATTACAGTCATGATAATTAAAAGATTACAGTTAGAATTTGTTACATTCACTTTTCTTATGATATTAAAAACCAAAACTGTAAAACTACGCTTTTGGATTTAAAAGAAGTTTTTAGGAATTGATGTAAAATGTAAAATACTTTAGATTTACACATTAGGCAGAATGAAAACATTTCTTTTTTCTCCTTAATAATCAAACTTTAATCTAAATCCAATCAAATCGTAAAATCCAGTCGAATTTTTGCATTTGTTTAACTCATACTTTTATTTTATTGGCTTGTTGGTTTGTGCTAAATCTTGAAATTATTTTTTAACCTCTTCTACTGCCCCAATTCTGAAATGTTTCACATGTACGTATTTGGGATAACAATATAATAGGATTTTTTAAAAATTTCCATATAGAATTTTCTCATTTAGTAATTTTTTTCAAACGTTACTAATCTGTCAAACTGATTAATGCAAAATTTTTTTATCATTCAAAAAAACTTTTTTTTAAAAATAATTTAGTGAATTTTGGTGGTTTCTTAGTTCGATCGTTTTTATCTACCACGCGGTTGCGACAATGAGATATCTTTAAATCGAAAGATTAAATTTTTCATTATTAGCGGCCTCATGATTTTAAATGATAAAAGATCGGATTTCTAAATCAAACAAAAATTTGAATGTAAATTTATAGTAACAAATAAAAGAGAAAAAAATCTTATTAAAAAATAAATAAAATAAAAAAACAAAAAGATGACGATATGAAGAGTATTTAGTCGCAATGTTTGACTTGGAGGAATTTGCAATGCAAATACAAGCTAAATACAAGCCAGTAATGTAGATATATCGAACGAAGGCACCTTAAGCAGACAACTGTCGTATGCTTTGCAGTATTCAATTTATCTTGGTTAGAAAAAATAATTTTCCTTTGTGTTCAAAAACAGTGATTCTTTATTTCTTCAAGCCTCTTTCATGTTCTGTAGACTAAAGAGTTTAAAATAAAATATATGATAAAATGTTTAAGCTACACGATTTTGGTTAAATGCATTAAAATGTAAATAAATATTTTTTTATTTACATGTTTTTGGTAATATTCTTGATCATATGTGACCCAATAAAATTTTGGTAATTTTTTTTTTTTTATTGAGTTCTAACTAGTATTTCTAAAAAGTATTTTAAGCTTTAACTGAGGAAAAAAAACCTTCTTTGAGCTATCAGAGGTATTTTGAGCCATATGCAACAAAATAAATTTTCGTCTTAATGCACTTTCGTTTAACGAACTGTATAAAGATATTAACAGAATATCAAGAAATGAAAAAGTAACAGTACAGAAATGAGGTGCTTAAAGAATGATTATTTTCAAGTTCACTAAATTTTTTTACTTAAAACCCGTCATTTCTAGCAGACCCATCACTTAATTTTTATCGCACATCACCAAGAGTATTTTTATACCTCACAGTTTAGTGAATTTAATAAAACTGTGTAGCATAAAGAGCCATCTTTAGCTGATTTTAGTTATTATTATGATTTTAAATTTCCGCATTTAAGGTTAAAAACTTTTTGGAAAACCAGGAGTTCATGTATATGGCATGTAAAATTGACATAATCTTGAAAAAATATCATGATGTGAAACGCTAACGTAAAAGGTACCAAAATAATGTTTGTGTTATCCAAAAACATCCAAATGCTAAAAAGTCTCCTTCAAAGTGCAATCAAATGTCAGACTGAATGCGTGATGTGGGAAACAAAACAGAACATTAGTGCTTATAAACCGTAATAACGGAATACTTCGAACTAAATTGCTCCCTGTCGGTTATATTTAATTTCGAAACAGTAAAATTAATCCAAATTTCAATACCCCTGAATGTACGCTTTTTCTTTTAATCATGCAAATGCTTTTATTGAATTCCTTTGAATATGGTTGTTGTCTTGGAAAGTATGACACATGCGTGGCAAATTACAAATACCCTTATGCTTTGTGCTCTCCGACTTCACAAAAACTTCCCCAAAATTTTTTTCTTTGATATTTTTAAAGAAAGATTTCTTTTTATAATCCATTTAATGACTTTTCTTTTCGTTGAAATGACATTTGGTAGGTAGGAAGAGGATGGCGATCATCTCTCTCTCTAGCATTGCGATCCAGCGTTGCTAAGAGACGGCTGGAATGCATTAACGGGATTGCGGGAGCAATGATGCGATGCGCAGCTCTGTGGGAGGCTAACTGAGGGCGGGTGACATTTTATGGAAGCAACACTGAAAGAAAGTGCAAAAGTTAACACCTTCTACATTGTCATTTTTCCCTCCTGGGGAGGTTGGTATCATAAATAAGTATTCCTTGTGTACCATTGATTTCGAATTCTAGTCAAAATACAAAAATACTGGAATAAAATATTCTACACCATTTAAATTTAAGAGGTAAACTCGAGACAAAAATCCTTGTTTTTCTGTTAAAGAATTTATCGATGAAAAGATATAGGAATATGATACCCTCCTCCATTAATATATTAAACAAGAAAATTAAAGAAGGGACATTCTTATTCCGCGAGAGGGAATGTCATATTTCATCTAACTCTTGATATAAAATTGATATAACAAGCTAATATAAATTTATTTAATTGAAAGAGAAACATGGCAGTGTAAAATTTAAGCAAAAAAGGTAAACTTTCTCTTGGGCTAGGGGGACGCACATTGAATAAAATTGCACATTTCTATCAGTGTCGAAAGATCTCTCTCCTTCAGTAGCAAAACATAATTGTTTAAAATTATACAGGGAAAAAATCTTATTTGGCGTAAATTTTGAAAAATATATATAGATATATATAAAACGTTTTTCAAAATCTATGGCAAGCAAAAACTGCTTATTTTGCATACTGTCAAAGAAATGATTTAATTAAAAATTCAGTAAATACTAATTAAACAAGTACAATGAAAATAAACAATAAATCTGCCCATTCTATGAAAATGTCGGCAATAACATTCAGCATTTTAAATAATATAAATATAGTCGATATTCATATAATGAACTACGCAATAAGAAAAAAAATCGCTATATTAGATATAAATTTGCTCTTTTAATAAATCTAGAAAATACCTTTTATTTTATTGTAAGCGAGATTTACTAAAAATTAGTAATTTGTTCCGGAAAATTACCTCCTGTAGAATGAAATCGGAGGTTGGAGAACTCTTTCAATAATCGGAAGCATTTATTCTTATCAGTATTTATTCTTAACAGTATTTATTCTTAGCAGTATTTAGTCCAAAAGTATGTTAGCCGTAATGA